CAGCAGGAAAACAATATGGCGCCAAAAGTACAGTGGAAGAAGAATAAAAGTTGGAGCAGACAAATTACCAACTGTTGAAACATTAAAACATAACATTTTATTTATTTTTTTGTATACGATCACCCTACAAAACCCTCTAGGTGGAACAAAATTGGGGAGTAACACTTGGTTGAGTTCCCTTGTCAGCGCGGCTCAGCGGCTCAGACGTGCGACAGCGCGACGGGACACCAGTAGTTTCACCATCCCGCCTAGCGCAATATATTAACTTGCTATTCGTTCTCTTTGATATTTCCTATTGAGCAAATGTAAATAAGAAAGACAGCTCGTGCCTAAAGACGAATTCCGATTTGGCTGATATTTGGTGGACATGTTCCTCAATTCAATTGAAAAAACGTTAACATTTCATGTTAACAAATAGACGATCCGAATAAAAGAAAATCAAGTACAAAATTAATTGCTGGTAATTAAAGACACCTTACATTAATCATGTATACTTCTGTTTAGTCTTTGTTGTTCTAGGTGTAAGGTATATCATCTGCTGCTGAAAAGAGTGCAAAATAAAGAGAAAACTAAGCAATTTTTTTACTTTATTTATTAATTGATCATCTTTTTTATACTTTTTGATACTTTGTCAATATTTTAGATTAACTGTTAATTTTGAGAGTAGAGCTCGACTTTGAGATTCTCTCTGATGGCATTCCTCTGGTACAGGACCTCCTTCTTGCAGAATCCGCTCATGACCCAGGGGCAGGCGTACTCGATGCGCTCCGTGCAGAGCGTAGTCATCCCGCCATCTAGCGGCGAGAATCTGGTCTCCGACGCTGTGGGCACTGCGGGGTGGGATCCAGTCAGGACAGTGGGGGAGGTGGGGCTTCCCTGACCGGCGCCAGGCGGGGGATATGGCCGCCGCCAGCAGCACTGGCCGCAGCGCTACCCCGCGCCTCCGTACGCCGCGCGCTCAGAGACTCTACGCAGCGTGCATGATAGTGCAGCTTCCGGCCAGAGTAAGGGCATAGACGGGTCTCCATGTAACCCCCTCGCACCCGCCTCTCTCGCTTTTCGAAGAAAGTCCGACCTTTTGTTACCAGAAAATGAAATTAGAATACACTTACGGCAGAGGAAGTCTGTGTAGAAGCACGTGCTGTGCGTGGACCTGATGAGGTAGTCGCTGTTGGACTTGGCCGGGATTACTTCAAAGTGTGCCGTGGCGTAGTTGGACACGGAGGGCAGCCCGCTGAGACGCTCCGTGTAGCGCACCGAGTACCTCCAGTGGCCCTGGCTGTTTCCGTCCGAGAGCAGCTCCCAGTCCAAGCTGCAACCGCGAGAAACCACACCAGTTAAGAACTTCACCTCGTGGTTGGCCGAACCACGCCAGACTGCGCCGAGCTACACACACAGCTCACATGGTTGGGTTGAGCTTGGGCATGTTGCTGAAATCGGCGAGGAAGTCCCACACGTCCTTGGGCCGGGCCTGCTCGATGGTGAACTGCTCGACGTGCAGGAAGGCGCGCGGCGACATGAGCACGTACACGACGAGGGCGGCCAGGCCGCAGAGCGCGGCGCGCCGGACGCACGGCGAGGTGGACCGCCACCTGCGGCTCAGCTGTTTGCTCGGCCTGCAACAAGCTGCAGTCAGTTCCTGTGAACCAGCCGGGCGCCCTTATAGTCCGGCCAGTCAAAAAAAAAATGACGCCTGGGTTTGCTGTAGTCGCCCATGAGAGCCCATGCTACGCCAGGCGTCACCTTTGGCTGGCCGGACTATACTCTCTTGGCCGAACTGACGTTGTAACGACGATATCACGAAGACGTCGATGTGCCATTTTTGGCGTCTTAATGATATCGTTTCTCACGCCCCACACAGGCGACCTTTCTGCCTAATTTAGTCTGAAATCCGACATCTTCTATACTCTTAACTTGAAGTTTCTCACTGGTACACTACGCCCAGGCACGGGCAGCATTAGTTGTTAGTCGCGCAGTCGACTCTGCTGCATTCCTACTCACGACATGGCTGTGTTGACTGGGCTGCTGACTCTACAGCAAGTCGAGCATCGTGCTGACGGCCTGGAGGCGGACTGAGACCAAAAACCACGGCCGGCCGGCTGCTGGCGGTAGGCACGGGTAGGGGGGGGGGGGCAAGTGTCGCCAACACGACGGAGTCGTCGAGGGAAGCCGTGCCGTGAGCAGGCTCAGCAAGTAGTGGCGGGGGGCGGGGCGGGGCTGTCCTTCACGCCCCTGCCCTCAGTTCATCTGTAAGTCAAGCCAGGACGATATCGAAATGCAGGAGCTATTGGTATCTTTGATCTTTCGTCCCTGCTGTCTTTGGTTTGCGGCTGCAGCCACGCCGTATTGTTCTACGGTCTTCTGTCTTTTGGTCTTTCCCTATCCATCCCGCGTGGGCAGAATCCACATCAACCCATGTTTCTTGTCTAATCTGAAACGCGCATTTTAGGCGCATATGTAACGCGCATATTAGGCGCCTACAAGCGTTTTAGGCGCATTTTAGACTGGACACAAAATGCACATTTTATGCAGCTACCTGGGTCTTATGATATCCTCGGATTTATTAGAAATTATTGATACCGGTTCACCGAAAGACCTCTCTCAGGTCTCGATCTGTGGCCTCCAATGGACCTTTCCTGCCCCCGACCCTCCCCCGTCAGACCTGGACTTTGAACTCACCGCGAATCGAACCGGGGAGAAGCATGGGCATTTGGACTGGAAATTTAAAGAATATAAAGTATTTAACTGTGAATTTGCAGACTTAAAGGATCCGGAGACTGGAGTTAAACCACTCGTGTTGAACACTTTTCGAACACAAGTTTTGAACTTTAATGTTTAAACACTTCTCAGTATATTCAAGTACCCAGTTAAACACATGGAAGTGTGCAACGACGCAGTGTGTTGACCACTTGGATGTGCAGTACAGTGTCGCCTGTCTACCTGGCAGGTAAATATGGTACTCAAGACAGCCAGGTATCGAACATTGTGGCTAAGGAAAGCTCTGTCAAAACTCCCTTATTCCCTTATCCATGCGGCCGTTTCCTGCTCCGCTCAGTCCTCTGAGTGATACCGAAAAGGGGGAGAAGCAGGGCCCGTGGGAAGGAGAGAAAGGGTGGGGGTGGGGGGGGGGGAGGTCTTGCATCCCAAGCACGTATCAGTAGAAGCAGACAACAGAAGCAGACGACTGGCAAAGCGAGGCCCAAGGGTTCATTTGCTTTCGTTCTATTTAATCATTTGAGTGAATATTGATTGATGCATGTCTTGTTTTGTTGCTTTCCAGTGGTTCACATTGCCTGGTCGGAGGATGATTTTAGTGGTGTTACCGGGTGTTACTTAGTTGTCAGAGGTGTCACTAAAGCAAGGGGAAAGAAATGCTAGAAAAATGCAGTTGGATATGCTTCAAAAATGTGGAACACATAGAGGTGAGTATGATGCTTTGGAGATTATTATACAAATCAGACGGGTCTTGAAGATTTTGAAGTTGAAACTTGCGTACAGTTTAGTGATCTTAATCTAAAAGTTTTAGTTACTTGGAAAGATTTCTTTCTCTTGTTTATTGAGACAATGTAAACCTGTAATTTTCTTAAATGAGTTGAAACATTTTGAAACTGTTTACACATGTCCATTTAACAGGGAGCCCTAATTTAGACCAAAGGGGACACTTGGACTTAACTTTCATAGGGGATCTCAAATGTGTGTTTTCTCTTTAAATGAAAATTACTTAAACTTTAAACTTTTAGTGATTGTGATGATGAACTGTGGGTAGGCACTTGCCAATTATTTTCTTTAATGCAGGTTTGTGGTTGTCATTTTCCCCTGAATAATCTTAAAAGATTTAAATTTTCGTTTACAGTTGGTGAGTGCTGTTTTTGTTCTCACTCAAAACATATATAATTTCCCTTTCAATCACTGTACTATTTCAGGGGTCCATTGTGTCGTTTATAAATGTTTGAATGAAATAAAATATTTTGTCCAGTATCATGTATTTGAAACAATCTTGTACAATTATTAGCCATCTCACAATAACCTACAATGTACATACAACAGTCATCTTGATCCTCAAATGATTTTACCAATTTTACTCTTTCCCAGCTGTCTCTGACCGTACATGACATGACACATATGTTATTTACAAAATCCCTCCAGCATCTCAGAGGTAACAATATTTCTTATTATCACATGGCAACAGAGAAATTGTACATACAAAACACACTAATGTATACCGTTATTGCCTTAAGTGCAAAAAGTATTACTTGCAGTTTTTTTAATCAATCCTGCGTGTAAACAATACTATGCTCAGGCTTTAGCATCCAAGAAAACTGATCATTTTCAGTTTTTAACAACAGCACTTCATATGCCACACGAGAACATTAAATAAATTTGAAATGTGTTTTTCCATGTGTTTGGCCCCTGGATTGAAAAGTTAAACAAAAACTTCATGGAGCAATAACTAACATCCACAAAGAAATAACTAAAATAAATCAGATTACCAATCTCTTTACAAACAATAATTCTAAATGGCTGACATTCATTCAGCACAATGGACAACTCCACATGATAAAATAAAATTGAGAATATTTTAACACAAAACAAATAATGAACTGGATGAATCATCTTTTGCTGATACTGAAGTGACATTTGTACAGAAAAAAAAGGGCAAACATGATACTTAATTCATTCTTAGAAGTTAATTTTTACCCTACAAGAGACAGTCTTTTTATATGCTTTTGCTTTTGTGCACAGTTCAGTACCTGTAAACACAAGACATAAAATCCTTGTTTGTACAAAATCTGACAATTGTCCTTAAATTTCTGACACACATCATTTACATAAAATAAATAATTTTGAGATGATTATGTACATAGATTTGGACTACCCAAATTAAGAAAATTATAAATACATGTTTGACAATGG